TCCCACATATAAAGCAGAGGAAGATGGGCACGATGTTAGCTCAGGGCCAGTCTTCCTCAGCAAAAAAGAGGAGGACTGGCAGTAGTTAGCTCAGGGCTAATCTTCCTCAAAAAATAAATAAATAAATAAATAAAATAAAAAATTTGAGAGTCTAGGGCACCAGCTTAGAGCTTCTGATTTAGAGGTTTTAAGGAGAGTCCCAACAATATGATTTTTAAAGCTCATCCAGGTAATTTTTATGGACAGTTAGATTTGAACATCACTAACCTACAGCAAGGAACACTGTCTTGCATTTAGTAAGTGCTCAAAATGTTTCTTTGTTTATTTTGAAGACATAATGACTCAGGCAAGTGACATCAACTGGGTCCCACTTGCTTCATTTTTTTCATTTTTTGTGCTTTACCATGCTTCACCAACCCCCTGACAAAACCCAGTTCAGATGTCTCCTTTTTTGTTTTATTGTGCATCATCATAATCAAATGGCCAAGGTTTTTCATTGTCCTTTCAAAAGTGTTTGAAGAATCTGACAGTGCTTTTGAAAATTTGCATGAGTCCTTTTCGGTAGAAGATGACCCTGTTGACTATGGTCACCAGTTTGGAGTGTTGGTTATGGCTGGGAAGATTGATGTGTGACAAATGTCTGTTCTATATTGTCTGTAATAAAACACTGTCCTTCAGATCCTGGCTGTTGCTGCTATTTTCAGAGCCTTTGGCTATTTCAAACATAATCTAAATGACATATTTGTTCCAGAAAGCCATCTTATCTCAGATTACTCTCTCTGCTGTCTGGCCTTCTGATCACTTCTCTTTACAATCGCCCTTTTATGCATCATCATACAGCTAGCGGTCATCCATTCTTAGTACGTGGCCTATCCAGTGAAACTGTGACAGAACTCTCTGCAATTGTCAGCTGAATGAATGACTTGCTTCAGCACCGAGGAGTTCAGTCTCATTCCCATATTTTTTGTGGGTGACCCTGTCTTGCAATTTGAAGTTCAATAAGCATTGTTTGTGACGTTGAAGAAACTTTTCAGGAAGGTTAACTTGTCGGTTGCTTGGTGTATTTAGGTTCCTATCGCTGTGTAGAAATGTGTTCCTGGCTTATACATCATAGTTTAGGATTAGAATCACGGGTGACCAGAAAAAAAATCGAAGAATCACAGAAATTGGCTGATGGAGGATAAGGGAGAAAAACAGCAGAGAGGAATGAGGTATGCATAAGACAGAGTAAAGAAGAGATGGAGAGGTAAAAAAGTAGTAATATATAGCGATCTAGAGAGGTTCTGTTAGCAGATTGTGATGTAATGCGATAATTCACTAAGGACATTTCAAAGATTACATGCGATACGAGACGGCATGTGGGCCCACTAGCCTTTTGCAGATTTGCACTGTGTCTCTCAATACCTCATTCCTCATTTTTATTTACATCTTTGAAATGTTCCTGAGCAGGTTATTTTCTTTATACTCATCATTTTTTTAAAGTTAGTCTAATGCAGGGATTTTTAATGTATGTATGATCTGTAGATTCATGAATTGGGCATTGGTCCACAACTCTAGAATTTGTTTGAAAAATGTGTACTTTATCTTCATTTTTCTCCTCCAGGTAGAAGATCAAGAAATCGTCAGATTCTCAAAGGGATCACTGATAAGAAAATATTTCTGTTTTCTTTAAACTAAAACTTTAGAAACTCAGCTAGGAGTGGACTCCAGCCATAAAAACCTTTCACTGTGTAAAATACTTTCTGGGTGACATTGAGCAGAGCTCTGTGAATTAGGCAGATGACTGAAGCTGGTCCCTTGGCTTATGCTTCTCCCCTCTAGCCATTAATGATTGGTTTGGTGCTTAATCTGTCCTCAGTGTCACCTTCTATCTGTCATCTCCCCAAAGGAGTCTTGAACCCTTGGATGTCATTTTCCACTTCTCTCTTGACAAAAACACCAGTGACCTTTTTTTTTTTTTTTACATAGGCAATGACATCAGAGACTCTTTTCAGGTCTAAATTCCAGGGTAAGTCGTTTGTTGTATTTGGAGTTTCTCTCCTGCAAGCTGGCAAATATATTTGCGTTTGCCTTCTTAGCTTATTTTCTTTTTCTTTTTCTTTTTTAAAGTCTGTTGCACTGGTAAATTGGCAAAGTATTTATAACTTTATAAATGTTTTTCCAGGGTCAGGTTCAAGGACACAACTTTTGGCACATACCCCCCTCTAGACGACCACGGTTACCATTAGAACTTCTGATAATGTTTATAGTTTCCTGCCTAGAAGAGTTTTACTGATGACAGGAAGCATATTCTGATACAACTTTAAGGTCCCCTAATAGCTTCGTGAGCATAGCTACATTATTTCTCTCTGACGCTAATTTGTCAATCTGTGACAGAAACGAAATTTCCATCAATCTGGCAAAAACTTCTGAGCTGATAAGTCATTGGCTCCGAGTTTATCCTCCACTGGATGATAGCTGCCCATTCCTCTGAGCCCCGAGTTCTGGGGAGGGCCCAGCAGAGACTAAAAATAGGAAGAGAAAGGGGATAAGGTCAGTGATGAGGCAGAATAGAATCGAATCTCTTAACCATCCTTTGCCTTATGACAGTGGTATTGGGTGACGAGTTAGAGAATGAACAACTCAGCTTATAATGATCGCAGCCACGACTGGCGATTCTGCCATGCAGACGTTTCAGAGTATCCTTTAAATGGATTTCATTCTAGAGTCATTGCCCGAAAGATTTGTATCTTACATTTATATATCTACTCAATTTAATTTTTTTGCAAAGCAATATTAAAACCTCTGTCTATATTGTGGAATATTTCTTTGTTTGGAGTAAATTTTTTTAAAAGATGACCCCAGTCCCTGCTTAATATTCATTAATTCCTCATCCTCAGACTGCTTATTACCCATTTCCTACTTCATATCTTAACCCACTTTGGTTATTCAGGTTTGTCTAGTGGCAACATGTTCTCCCCTAATATAGTGGAGAATATCCATGTGGATTTGTGTTTATACCTATCTCTAGCTCTTAGCAAATATCCATCAATTCATAGTAATAGATAATCCCCCTGTGCTCCTAAGTCTTATTTTTCATGCTTATCAGTGGAGGGATCGGAGTAGGATTAGAGTAGGGCCTGAAAATTGTCTAGGAGGAAGGTCCTGACAGATATTGAGGTCTAGAGAAGTCAAGAAGTCCGTGTACTAGGGCAGCACACCAGGTTTAGGACCTTAGCGAGGATGTGGAGGAGCGTGGAAGAAATAAAGGCCAAAGGAGTTCAGCCACATCGGAATCTGGAAGAGCAGCTGCAAGAATGCTGGAGCCTGGGAAATACATATAGAGGCAGGTTGAGTGACAAAAGCTAGGAAAGTGGCTCAGAGGGTCAGGTAGAAGAAATCAGTGCCCAGACTGCGGATTCAATTAGAAAATGCATAGCAAAAAAAATGACCTTGCTAACTTATCTTGTGAGCCTAATAAGGACTCTTTATAATATGCAGTCTGTACTGGACCAGGATGAGGCCAGCATGTGGATAGTACTGAGCCCACAGACAGAGAAAATAGGAGAACAAGCAGGCTGAGCAGGGAGCCAAGCATTCCGGAGAGCACCTTAGGCAGCATTTCCTCTGGATCTGGTGAAATTGCTTATGTTTGCATTTTCTAGACATCCTTTACGTTTTTGACTTATTGGTCAATAGCATCTATATTGCACCACATAGCTCAGGCTTTCAACTTTTTTGCACTTTTTTATTTAGAGAAAAGGAGAACTCTGTTGGGATGCTTTTATGTCTGCTGTATTCTGATTCATTTCAACTTTGTTTAATCTGACCAAGACCAAGTAAAATGTAACACTCTTGTCCCATTTCCAGTAGATCTTAAATTGATGCTTTGCTGCTGTTATCCCCTGAATGAAAAAGGGTAAAAGGAGTTGCTGTGAGAGGGACTTCCAACATCAAAAATTTTACCTCTGGGTTCTTGTTTGCAAACAGCTCCACATTACCCCCTCCTGTACAGATAAGCACATTTAAATGAGCCAAGTGCAAATGTAAGCATTGCATTAGAGTCTAAAGTTTAGGCTGTCACTCTTGGATTGAGGATATACAATATAGAAAGTGAAGGTGAGTAAGAAGCAACGTTCACATTACTCCTCATTTGCTCGTTTGATACATCTTCTGAGAAGCTTCAAGTGGGGAGCAGCTAAGGCTACGGACTCCTCTCCCATAGTGGTTGGAAAGGAATTTCAAATGGTTCCAGCCAGAAGGAAGGGATGAGAAAGTTTTAGGAGTGGAAATGGAGCTGGTAAATAGCCTATCGCAAGAGTCGAGGAGTAAAAGTCTGTTATTTGTGTGGCGGGTTCATCCATTGAAAAATCTGATTTTCTACTAAGATGATATAAAAACTGGCTAGATACCCAGACAGAAAGATGCTTCATCACCTGAGTGATCCTGAATGTCACTCCAGATGTGGGAGGCTGGGGGTGGGCAGCTGTGATAGCAAGAAGAGGTAATAGCAGTGTGAGCAAGGTGCTTCCCAGGTGAAAGAGACCAAATTCTCCCATTTTTTCCAAAATCTTGGGTGGTTTTGAAACACTAGCAGTCCCTCCAAGCATCTCCCTGTCATCACTGCTCTTTCTTTTTTCTTTTACATCAATAAATTTTTATCTAAGTAATGTCACGTGATTCCTTCCAGTCACCTTAGTTCCTCCAAAGTTTAAGTCATAATCTTCAAGATGGCCCTTTTAAAAAGAAATTTTGCTCAATCCACAGTTGTCGTGTCAGTCAGTTCACACTTCTTTCAGTTGGGGTTCTTTGATCTCCACTTGAATATAGACATCCTTTAAAAATTCACCTGTAATCTTTAGGATCCAATTTCTTCAACCAGTTTACTTTAGGGCCCTAGGAGTTAAACTGCAGGAAGTTCACTGCTATTTTAGCAAATGATCTAAAATATATTATTCCTTAATCATTTCTAATATTGAAAAGTCTTGTTACATCCAATTTTTACTCATTAGCCTAGCAAAAAATGTTACAGGTCTCATTGTCACCGCTGCAATACACGTACTGTGAGGGAAGGATGACATGTGTTTCAATATGGCCACAATAACAATTTTTGGACACCATTAGCAACAACACCCATTTTCATCTAGAATGAGGCTTCTCTTTCTCCAGGGCTTTTTTGCAGCATCGGCCTTGTTGCCTCCAGTCAGCCTTTGGAACAGAGCTATTTTCGTTGGCTTTTGGTTGGAGGACTTTATGACCTCACAGGCAGATCCTCTCAAATCAGCTACCATGCTCCTAGAACCTTTTTATTCTACTTCTGAGTTCATCTCTTTGGCTGTGTCCCGAGACCTGGCTCACTCCAGTAGGTCATCCTGGACTTTGTGGGGTCTTCTGCCATTCCTTACCCATGTCCCTGACCAACTAATTTTCTATAAAAGTAGATTTTCATTTTCTATAACTCCGCTTCCTTGCTTTTCTCCCTCTGCCCTGTAGCTATCAACTCAGCTGAATGCAGCCAACCCAAACCCTTTGTAATTTTTCTCTTCAGTGATTCACAATATATGTCCTCTTTGGCTTGGAAGAAACTTAATTTTAAGAATTCTACCCTTAAACTTTCGTATAGCATCATTGGCTCTGAGTCAGAGAGTGGGTATTATGCCGAAATACTTCTTGTCCCTATTTTGTGACTAGCACGGTGGGAATTCTGACATACGGCTATTTTAGACAGACTATTGGGAGAGTCTGAATAAACTTTAGAATTAGGTTCAGAAGGAAGAGAGGGAAGACATTTTAAATTAAAGCAAGAAAACCTTCTGTTTCCCACCCTGGTTATGTTGAGGCTAACAGGTTAGCTGATTTGTGGCTCTCTAAATATAATAAACAACGAATAAAAACAATCCAGTATTGGGGGCCCTCTTTGTGGCCCTCCAGTCAACTGGATGAGGCTCACAGGGGCTATAGCTACTCCATGAGATTAGAGAGTTATAATCCCTCATAGGGTTTTGTAAAGCATTATGCAGATATTTATAATTATATTGTGAGGGAGAAATTAGATGTGTGGGTATGGGTTTTGGAGCAGGAGGAAGTGCAAAAGTACAGTAGAGGTAAAAGATTTACTGTGATGCTCTTTGGCAAAACCTCTTCTGAATGAAAATGCCCTCAAAGTAACTGGAGCAGAATATCATCAGCTTGAGGGCTCTGAGTATAGCATTGTGCTGTGTGGATCAAAAGGAAGTCTAAGCTTTGATCCCTTTTCTTGGGTGGGGAATGGGATTTAGAGCTATGTCAATATCTACAAATTCAGTTCTAAGATGCTGGGAAGAAGCTTTGAAGCCAATAAAAAGCATAACGTAGGATTTCATTGAAAGCAGTTATTCAGGAACATAGAGCAACGGTGTAGTTTATCAGGCCGGTGTTGGAGCATGGGATTGTGCACGTACCCTGAGATGGCCCTGCACCCAGCCATGCCACAAGGTCTGAAATCACTGCCATTGAAACACAGTCACTGGGGGGTGCCAAACAATGACTTCATGACCTTGGGAGCACCTGTCCAATCTGATGCCTCAATGACTAGTCAAGGACAGATGGTGGCAATCTTAACAGCTGAGTTTTAAATCACCACAGATGAATCAGCTTATTTCCCATGAAGCCATTATAAAATCCATGGGAGTGACAATGTAGACAGTCATAAAGCCTAAAAATAGAGATGGGAACATCTAGCAAAAGTCTGATCCCGTGTTTTTGTTGCATAGAGAGGACTAAAAATTTGACGTTGTGATCATACCGTACTATAGTGTCCACACACTCAGCAGATGGATTTCTAAGGGCCCTTTGCTTCACCTTTAATAATTTTGAGGTAGTATTTATATAAATTACCAATGTTTTTCCAAAAGTAATAACTATAATAATTTAACAATTTCTAGTTCATAGAGCACTTTTTCATATATTACTTTATGAAAGAAATATCTTCTCTGTAAACCAATGTTGGGGCCCAAGGCAGGCTGCCTCAAAATGTGCCACAAGGGCATATTGCTTATTTTGAATAAAAGTTACTTAAGAAGAAGCTGATGCAAAAAGGGCGTTTTGACCCTCCTCTCTCTGTTCCCACTGGAAGCAGGAAATAAATCTCCCATGTGAAAGGCACTCTCCCTGCATCCTTATTACCAGAGCTAGGGGATTCAGGGCAGAGAAGCCTACAGAAATAAACCTCTCTACTTCTTTACTAATTTGCTACTGTAAACCCAAACTCTGCTTAAATTAAATTTATTGTTTCTTTGTGTAAAAATATATAAAAGATTCTTGCTTTGGTCATTTTTTTGAGCATCTTTTTTTTGATGAGGAAGATTGGCCCTGAGCTAACATCTGTTGCCAGTCTTTCTCCTCTCTTCTCCCCACAGCCAAGTTCATAGTTACACATCCTAGTTATGGTAAGTTCTTCTAGTTCTTCTATGTGGGTTGCCACCACAGCATGGCTTGATGAGTGATGTGTAGGTCTGTGCCCAGGATCCAAACTGGTCAATACCAGGACACTGAAGTGGAGTGCATGAACTTAACCACTACTCTACCAGGCCAGTCCCTGAGGATCAGTTTTTATGATCTCCTGTGTGCACAAAATTAAATTGGCTTTCCTCCTATTAATCTAGTCTTGTGTCAATTTTATTATTAATCCAGCCATAATAACTCAAGAAGGGTAGAGGGGGGAATTTCTCCCTTCCTGACATCAAAAAAACAAATGGATAGTGTTCAGCATTTGTCATGGGTTGAATTGTGTCCCCCCAAAATTCATATTTTGAAGTCATAACTCCAAGTCCCTCAGCATGTGACCTTATTTAATAATAGTATTGTTGCAAATTTAATTACTTAATTTAAGATGATATCATTAGGGTGGGACCTAATTCAATATGACTGGTGTTTTTATAAAAAGAGATCTGGACATAAACACATACACACAGGGAGAGTGGCACATAGCATGAAGGCAGAGATCAGGGTGATGTGTCTACCAGCCAAGGAACACCAAAGATGACCAGCAAACCACCAGAAGCTAGGGCAGAGGCATAGAATAGATTCTCCCTCACAGCCCTCAGAAGGAACCAACGCTACAAACACCTTGATCTTGAACTTCTGGCCTCTAGAACTGTGAGACAATAAATTTCTGTTGGGTAAGCCACTTGGTGCGTGGCAGCCCTAGCAGACTAATGCAGCAGTCATCAACACATCTGTGTTATTAGTGATTGTGCCACAGCCTTGAGAGTTATAAATTTTCCTTTTTTCACTTTCCTCTGGAGACATTTGCAATTGGAGTTTTCTTTCCTTAGAGAAGGTAGGAGTGCTGGATTGTTGGTAGGGATTGCGAAGGCCTCAGCCAGGAAGGTGGGATGAGGGGTGTTGCAGGGAAGGAGGGCTGAGCCAGCAGAGGATGGTGAGTATGGGCTGGAGGGAAGAGGCCAGAGAGTTTCGATGCTGGTGCTGCCCAGGTCTCTGCTCTCAGCCTCTTTTCTTCTCACCCTACACCTTCTCCCTATCACTCTCATCTGCTTTTGGTCATCAATCCCCACTCATTCGTTGCTAGCTCCCAAATCTCCAGCTCTAGCCCACAACTCTCTCCTGAGCTTTCAATCCATGTATTCAACTGATTATTGGCCTCCTTACTGGAAGACCCACAGGCATCTCAGACACAGTAGTTGTAAAGTTAAGCCTGTTGTCTTTGACCCAAACCTACACCTCCTATTTGCAATATTGTTTAGCAGCATCTCAACGTACTCACGTCACCCCATCCAAGATCCCAGGTGTCATCCATAACCCCTCCATTCCCTTCCCAACTGCATCCAAATGATTACAAGTAGCTATTAATTTTGCTTCCATAATATCTCTCAAATCCATCCCTTCTTCTACATTTTCAGGTCCTACCTTAATGCAGATACTCATCATTTCTCAATAGCTTTCTCACTCAGCTCCTTGCATGAAATCTCTTCTTTCCCTCACTATTGCCAGAGCTGTATTTCTAAAATATGTATCATATCACTTTCATGCTTAAGTCTTCAGTGGCTGCCCAAAACATACAGGATTACATTTAAATTCCTTGGCATGTCACTTTTTCATTGTCTAGTTCCTACCCGGTTTTCCAATTTTATCATCTATTCCCTTTTGAATTCCAACCAGAAGGAAGTATCAACTAATTAGTTTCCTGAATGCATCATGCTTTTCCTCATGGATGTGAAGTTCTACTTGTTTTTTCCCCTTTCTGGAATGCCATTCTTTCTTTGGCTTCTGTGCCTGTTTGCTGAGGTCCACTTATCCTTTAAGACATACCAAATATGCTGTTTCCCTTTTTCCACATGCCAGGCAAATAACAATGAGGCAGACAGTCACAGTCTAATTGGGGATATATATGTCAAACAAATAATCATAAATTATTTTATTTTCATTATTTTAAGTACTGTGAAAGGGACTGGCCAACAGGTGCACCACACCTGAAACGATGGAAGTGACAAAGCCTCTCTGGAGAAGTGTCATTTAAGCCAAGATGCAAAGGGTGTATGGGAGTTCTGTAGGCAGAGAGCAGGCTAAATACCCCTAGACAAATGGAGCAATGTATGCGAAGACCTGAGGAAGGAAGAAATTTCCCTTTCTTGACTCGCATGGTATCTTGAACATACGTCCATGGGTAAAATTGTCATATTGCTATAATAATTTACTGGCTTGTGAATCCTTTAAAAGCAGAAACTTTGCAACCTGTGTTCTGGTATATTAGCTTTCCATCCAACTGAATAGAAGTTAAGGGAGTAGAAACTGGGATTTCCTAAGAATAAGTCAGTGGAGGTAGCTTAGCTTATTAGGCCTCAAGACTTTCGCCAAGTTTTCTCTTGGGATAATAGGAACCTATCTAAAGAAGATATAAAGATTTAGATTGGGAGTTAATATTAATGATTATGCTTATAGTAATATCATATATTTGTGTAGATCTTTGGACTTGACAAAATAGATCTGAAAAGTGGTAAGTAACGTGGAGTATCCCTTCTTCAGAGAGAAAGCAAAGGAGAGATAGATTGTACCTCACAAAGGCTCCAAGGTCATCATTTCTCCCATCTTGCTGAAATAGGCAAATAACAGACATGATAGATGACTGTCAGAGCTGTGATTGTCTCTTGCTGTATTG